GCATCACTCCTCCCATCCGTCCTCATCATCAACCTCGTCATCATCAGCATCATCATCGCCACCATCATCAGTAGCATCATCATCACCATCATCATCATCATCATCATCAGCATCATCATCATCATCGTTGTCATCGGCATCGGCATCGTCATCGCCAGGATCGTCGTCATCATCGTCATTCACAACAACAGGATCATCAGCACTATTTGCAAAATCCTCAGCGTCACCACCATCATCATCAGCAGCAGCATCACCATGATCATCGTCAACATCATCATCGTCATCATCGTCGTCAGCGCCATTACAAGATTCATCATCATCAGCAGCATCAGCATTCCCATCAGCATCATCATCATCATCGGCATCATCATCATCATCGTCATCATGTCATCATCATCAGCATCATCAGCAGCAGCATCACCAGCACCGTCATCATCATTAGCAGCACCCTCAGCACCATCATCAGAGCATCACTCATCCCCACCATCATCAGCATCATCGCCATCATCATCACCGGCATCAGCATCTGAATCAGCATCAGCAGCATCATCATCATCATCATCATCAGCATCATCATCATCATTATCATCATCATCATCATCATCAGCATCAGCATCATCATCAGCATCATCATCATCATCATCATCATCATCATCATCATCATCATCATCATCATTATCAGCATCATCAGAATCGTCATCATCGCCACCACCATCGTCATCGCCACTGCGATCAGCGCCATCATCATCATCATCATCATCAGCAGCATCATCGAAATCGTCATCATCGTCATCACCATCACCATCATCATCATCATCATCATCATCAGCATCATCATCATCATCATCATCAACATCATCATCACAAACACCGCCATCATCATCATCAGCATCATCATCATCATCATCATCCTCATACCCACCATCATCAGCATCATCAGCATCATCACCATCACCATCAGCAGCCGTACTATCATCAGCATCCGCATCAGCATCAGCATCGGCATCATCATCGTCATCAGCATCAGAATCATCATCATAAGAATCATCAGCATCATCATCAGCATCATCATCATTATCAGTATCATCATCATTCTAATCACCATCATTATCGTCATCATCATCAGCATCATAATCATCAGGATCATCATCATCATCATCATCATCAGCATCATCATCATCACCACCATCCGTCCTCCTCCTCCTCCTCCTCCTCCTCCTCCTCCTCATCATCATCATCATCATCATCATCATCATCATCATCATCTTCATCATCATCATCATCATCATCATCATCATCGAGGGGGAGCGGTTGCGGGGGGAAGAGAAAGGACGGAGGAGGAGGAGGAGGAGGAGAGTGAGGAGGAGGAGGAGGAGGAGGAGGAGGAGGAGGAGTGGGAGGAGGAGGAGCAGGAGGAGGAGGAGGAGGAGGAGGAGGAAGGGGAGGAGCAGGAGAAGGAGCAGAAGGAGAAGGAGGAGGCGACTGAAGACTATAGCTCCTCATCGTCGTCGGCGGCGGTCGCCGCGGCGGCAACGGTGTCGACGTCGGCGTCGACGCCAGCGCTGCCGTCGTCGCCCATCGGGGATCGCGGATCGAGTGCTCTTGGGCGACTCTTGGGCGCCCTCGGCCCTCCTTTGGGTCCATCACGACCTGCAGGGTGTTATCGTCGTCGTCGGCGGCGGAGTCCGCGGCGGCGACGGCGTCGACCTCGGCGTCGACGTTAGCGCCGATCGGGGATCTGGGATCTGGGTTTGTGGGTGCATATTTCCTCCTTGAACCTCAGTGGGGGCCCTCGTCATCTTCGGCGGTCGCGGCGGCCACGGCGTCCACGATCGTTGATGGAGGACCGCAGCTTCTGGCAGCTCCTGGGCCTCTGGAGGCATCGGGAGGTCGCCGTGGTCGTCACTGATCGAGGATTGGTTGAAGTTCTGTTGGAGCGAAATGGCCCCTTCTTGAGGCTCCCTAGAGGCCCCAGAAGCCTCTGGAGCGCCTCTCGGCCTCAACCGGGGTCCTCGTCGTCGTCGTCGTCGGCGACGACGGCGGCCGCGGCGGCGGCGGATGCGGCGGCGGCGGCGGCGAGGGCCGCGGCAGAGGCGGCGTCGACGTCGGCGCCCCGTCAGCGTCGTCGGGAAAGAGTACGAGGAGAAAGAGTCACGCTGCATGGTCGGGAGGTCTTCTCAGAGGGGTCAAAGGGTGGGTGCACGGTTTTCCCCGGGGCCGTGGGCGACCCGAGGAGGAGGAGGAGGAGGAGGAGGAGGAGGAGGAGGAGGAGGAGGGGGAGGGGAAGGGGAAGGAGGAGATGGCGGAGGAGGAGGAGAAGGAGGAGGAGATGGACGAGAAGGACGAGAAGGAGGAGGAGGAGGACGGGTCGCCTAAGCCCTTCGGAGAAAACCCCAAGGGTAGGATAGCAAAGGGCAGGGTAGAGAATCAGCTCACGTAATCAGATGGTTTTCATGACGCCTCCTGGCGCCGGGAGGCGCCCATGTATCGAGGAATGGGCTCAGCGGCGAGGCGGAAATCAACTGCATACAGCAGATTTCGTCCCCCCACTTTTCCTACCCCCCCCTTTCGACCGACCCGATCTTCTCTGTTCCATCGCGCCAGCTATCCGTGTTGAATCCGCGTCGAAGCTATGTCGAACAAGTCAAATCCACGTCGAATCGATGTCGGATCCACGTCGGGTCCATGCCGAATCCACGTCGGGCCCGCATCGGGCACAAGAAGGCCGTCATCAGCAAGACAGACAAGGTCCCCAGAAGATGCAACGTAAGAAGAGGAGGAGGAGGAGGAAGAGGAAGCGGAGAGCAAGTGACTCCACCAACACGCTTTGGAACGTAGGGGACTGTGAGGCATACGTACTTTGATGCAGCGGGGAGAAGGACACCCAGACTCGATTCGAATGTCCGCCGCCGTTGGTGATGAACACGGCAACCCTGCAGCCAAAAAGTTGCTCTGAGAGAGCACAGTAAAACGTGCTGGCCAGGCGGTCCGAGGCCATGCTTTGAAGAGCCTCTTACCACAGCAACTCCTGTGGGGTCCGCCGGCCAGCGTCTCGCCCGAATGACGTAATTATTCAAAAGCGCCGTTCGATGACGTGCCAAGCGGACCCCCCGCTACACGCGAGCGACGTGCCCAGCCGACCCAAGCCGAGCTGGCATGCCGGACGATCCCGCGCTCCTCGCGGCCTACAGCTTGGCCTGCATGGCAGGCCCCACCATCTGCTGGCGGATCGCCAGGTCCGCCATGACCTCCTCGCTGCCCCCCAGGATGGCCGCGTACTTGTACGTCTTCTGGAAGCGCTCCACGTGCGCGCCCATGCCCGTCTTGGTGATGGCCCTGCCGCCAAACATCTGCACCGACTCGTCGGCTACCAGGGCGCCGGCCCTTGTGGTCTGGTACTTCAGGAGCGCGATCGGGCCGCCGAGCTTGAGGGACTGCTCCTTGTAGGGCATCTTGTCCATCTGGTACGTGACAGACTCGAAGATCGAGGAACAAACAACTGCTGAACCAAAAACTGTCGGAGCTCAGCGCGGAGTTTTGAATCGGAGCTGCACCCCCTCGCGGCGCCCCTGGTGCTCTCCACGCGCCAGGGAGGGGGGCCCAGTGCCGATCCAAGAAATGCGCTCCGAGCTCCGAGAGCGTACGTTTATGCCGCCCTCTGTTCCTCGAGAGGAGCGCGTGG